TTACAATCTATTCAAGCTTTTAAATTGGTGAAGAAGGTTCCTTGTTATTTATAGTTGACAACTTGACAGACTAAAAAATTTATGTTTTTGTAATTAAATCAAATTAATTCAGTACATGCATATTAGACAAAAACTTTACATAAAAATTTATCACAATATTGATAATAACCATATATATAAAATTCAAAAAAAAAAAAATCTCCTTTTATTACCTAACTTTAAGTTTGTATATTTTATAAGTGGACCGATTTGTTTTAATTATTTGTATGATTAGTTTCAAAACGTATGCATGCATATATAAGAAAAAATGCTTATCAACTTTACTTTTTAAAGGTCAAGAGAAAAATTATTTTAAAATTATATTATTTTAAAAAATTTTTATTAAAAAAAATTAAATTATTATATTTTTAAAATATATGTTAAGTTAATTTTTATTTTTATTTTTTAATTTTTTAAAAATAAGACGTGTAAGTATTAAATTCATATACGCGTGTGTGTATATGTATATAACGTCAAATCCATGCACCTTTTTTTTTGGTACATCAAATTCATGCACTTTGCTTGTGCAGATTCACAGAACATTGGTTCCAGCATCTTTTACAATTAATGTTTGCGTAAAAAGGAACAATACTTGGTATTTTTATCAAAGAATAAGATGACTTAGCCGGCCTGGTCAAAGAAATAAATTAAATACTAAAAGAATAAGATGACTTACAAATTTTCTTTATTGACTCAACTTTAAATTTAGGAGAAAAGTAAATATTCATTGCCTCTGACTACCAATTTTCATTTTGGCCGGAACCTCCTCGTCTGAATGTGGACAAACAAATATTTCTTCGTCAACTTTCATTTGTTAGAAAGATTCTATTAGTACAATTAATTAGCAAAACTTACTAATTTATTGATTTGAGTAAAATAAATTCAATTTTTTTTAAATAAGTAAAATTTTGAATTTAAATTTTATAAATAAAAAAATAAATGTAAAATTTTTTTTTTTGAGGTTTGACATGATTCGATTATTAATTTAATTAGAATCTTATGTGACTTTTGAATATTATAAGATTTTAGAAAAAACAATTAATTAACAATATATTTTTAAACTTCAAGATTGGATTTGATAAGCAAATGTCAAATTTTAAACTAAATTTAATATTTAAATCTTAAGGTTAGTATTTAAAAAAATAATTTTTTTTTTAAATATAACTGACTCAAAAACATCATAATCTAAATATAAAAACAAATAAGATATTTTAAAATAGCAGTTTAGCAATATAGCTGTTTTTTTCTTTTGGTTTTATTAAAGAATTAACAAATTAACCTTGGAAAATTATAAACATTTTTATAATTTTTTTTTGAATTAGTAGCATATTCTTTAAGTGAACAGAGATTGAAAGTCTTCGATACACTTACGCAAGAATTTTCCCAAAAAAATTTGCTTTAATTATACTTGGCTAATCAAGTCTCTGATTGTGTGGCTCAACAAACATTAA